GTTTCCTCACGATATATCCGATATATGAGACCGAATATAAAGGACCGATTATTGGTCAGGAACTAGTTGAAAGTGTACTTAGATGTTTTAGGATGACAGCAGGTGCTGTTTAGTGTTTAGTTCATTTACAATTGAATTTCATGCTCAGCGACATTAAAAACGGTCCATATCGGAAAACGACAAAACCGACAAAACTTTATAACGTCACTGTGACGTCATCTTAAGTGCTACAACCACCAAACTTTTTTTAAACATTGCCTAGGTATTCATTTGAAGCTATGCCAAGTTTCACGTGCGTAGCTCATCAGGTTTTGGAGATATTCCACAAAACGTAAAGAGGGCAACTTTATGCCCCCCCCCCCCCCAGCGGCTCGTGGTTTAACGCTTCCCCCGCCCTCCAGCACGTAGTGGGTGGCGAGACATCCCTGCAACTGTCATGCTAACATTTATTTTCAGGTCAAAATAGGTCACTAAGACCCAATGCCGGTCACTTTGAGCCATGTGATGCTAGCTCAGGGTCTTCGTAACGGCCAGCATAGTCGCTACATAGTACATACATAACCGAAGGTTGTTTGAAATAGACAAACACTATTCGATAGAATTGTTTTTTTTTTAGTGAAAAACAAAGGGAGCAGTCCTTGTATATGACAGGCGACAGCTAAATGCCGTACGCTCATCTATGCTCATAATGGCCTCTGTGGAGCCGACCCCCGTCCAAGTTAGATTAAATATTTGTTAGGTCAGCAGTAACTGCATCAGATCGTGCCTGGTAATAGTCATAAATTGACAGACATTCTTTTACCAATAACGGTAAAAGAATGTCTGTCAATCGCCCGCCAAACTGGCGGCTCAAGCGACTCAGTGAACTAGAGCACCGCGTCAGGGCTCCTTCCAGTCATGCCCCTCACCGAGCGCGAGTTTTGCGGTTACGCCGGCTTCAAAGATCGCCGCTGCCGCTAGCTGCAGATTAATGGGCTGGGGTGGACCTCCACGCCCCATTAACTTGGCGCGCAGCCTGCCACTTGACACCAGAAACAGGGAAAGCTAACAACTCACAGAAACGTAGCCAGAAAAGCGAGGGTATGGCGGTCGGACCGAGATTCAAATTAACCCTCGCCGGACCTATTGGTTTTCTACATACGCGCCGGCCGAGGGGGGGGTGATTGGTACGACCGTCGACCCCCTCGCCGTTTCGTCCCTGATGGAGCTAGAGCGTCGCAGAAAGAAGGAGTGTGTGCGCCGTTACGCAACACAGCGACTGGTACCCGATTTTAAGGTCTCAGGTCAACCGGTGACCTCTGAGGTCAGGTCAAGTGACCCAGGGCACAGGTTCAGTTTTTCATAAATAACCGCAAAAAAACGGCCGCCAGAGACGCGATTTTTGCATCATCGTGTTCGCCTCGCTCAGGCACGTCGAATGGTATGCCTAGTTTTTGTTCGGGTGAGGTCAACTCGAGGTGTTGACCTCGGATCAAGGTCAGGTCAGCGCCCCCCAGGTCACGAAATTGGTCAAATGAGGTCGTGTTGCATATCACTCGATTCGGCAGGACTTCCTGAGTCCATTGGTGGCTTTCCCGACCCGCTAGCTCCATTTGATCGGGAGTTATTGACGAAAAACTCTTATGACCCAAGTGAAGTCATAAATGAATGCAAAAGTGAAGCATCGGACCTTGCGAGGAGTGCATGAAATCGCGATTTCGTGTGCTTGATATAGTCTGAGATCGTTCCCGGCGCTAAAATAGCAGCTTTGATTTTTCCCTGTTGACTTATAGGTGGTGAGGTAAAGTGACCGACCTGACCTCATGTGACCGTTAGGAAAAATCCGAGATATACAAGTTGTGAGACCTCTGGAGGATACTAGGTCCTGAAGATTTCATCTCCCTGTGAAAGCTTCTCTGGCACTGAGGGCGTTGCGAAGTTGCGGCATCTGAGGACCGTGCAGAGGTTCACTTATGACGTCATAGGTCAGTGACCTGACTTGACCGAAAAATGCGGTTGGTGTCACTAGATCCGGCTTGAATCAAAGGGCAGGTATGCCACGTTTCAGTTCTCTATCGTCGGCGTGTCTCGAGCTATCGCGAAAAAACATGACCTTAATGCCCGTCTCTCCTCTTCGCCTGCTCGACGTCGGTCCCCTCGGCTCCCTCAGACCACCCGCAGCGTCGATAGGCGGCTGGTGCAGCGACCAGAGGCATCGTGTTTCTTAGGGACTTGGTGGTATTCCACTGTACTTCCTGGTGCCTTTCAAAAAACACAATGCCATAGTACCACTACCCCATCTAGCGGCTGACTTGTTAAATATCAGTTCAACCGGCGTCAACCAGAGGCATTTTGTAGCTTGCGATTTTAGACAAAGCGATTTTGTACGATACGATCATCTCTTTTTGTATGTTGCAATTTTGTATGCTGCGCGCTTGTATGATCTGCAATTGTACGTTCTAATTTTGTACGTTAAGATCATTGTATGATTCGCCCTTGTACGCTTTACACATTGAACGTTAAACTTTTGTACGTTACGATTTTGTACGCTGCACTTTTGTATGTTTTGACTGGCCCCTAACCGACCTGTTTTGTAGGTTTTGCGCGTTGTATGTTACGATTTTGTATGTTTTGATGATTGTATGCTAAGATTTTGTATGCTTTGATAGCCACCCCTTTTTGAAGTGCTCATGCAGGAAGATGTGCACAGCACGCTGTACGTGCAGGAAGCATGGCCTAACGTGCAGCAGCCGGTGCCATCGCAGTACGCACTGCAATAATAAATAGAACTGACAGCGCGACGATGTTTCTTAAAATGTGAGGATGAGAGAGAAGGAGTGGGAAATTATAATTAAATTCGAACGTGTTTTTAATGTCCAAATACATAATGCAGTTTTGTCCGTAATGGCACAATCAAACAAAGACTACACTCATTCGTTTACATGTAATTGTAGATCAACCGGGCCTGCCTATTGACTAGGGCCGGTCTCCGGCTGGTTTTGTTAGGTCTAGTTTCAGGCAGAACATGAACGGCGTTGATGTACTTGGGAGTTTTTACAGCGTTAAAGGGACTATCCCACCTTCAAAAAAGTACCATTTAGGATTCGGAAATGTTACTCATGATATTGTGACGAATTCTGCAAGTTTTTACGCGTTTTCATTGTGTACTTTTTGAGATATTGCGACTTTTATATTTTATCGTGACGTCATTTAGATCGGATCTGTGACGTAATGAAGGATTTACCTACTTCATGTCAATGTGGGGGAAATTTGGCAGCAAATATAGGTATTTGCTCTCAAATATGACGCGGCTCATACAATAACAAGTGTCTCTGATTAGCTTATTCGTAAATCAAGTGAAACTTCACATGGGTGACAGGCGTTCAAAATGCAAATGACGTCATCAATTGGCCGTTAATAGTTAAGAGATAGGGCCTTAGCTAAGGCCCACTTTTCAAATGAAGGGAACGAATTTCTTTAACACCACGAAACTGAGGATATTGCGACCAGGATATATAGTGGTTTCTGAACCTGGCAGCCAACTTGGCTATCTCAACTCAGAACTAATGCAAAGGTGGGACAGTCCCTTTAACTAAACAATGCTTTATGCTACAGCCGAGTCTGCAACTCAACCTGGTCGTTACTCAGCATTGTCGTCATCACAGAGCTTCAAATCGATCAGCTACAGGCTGAATACGTATCTATAGGGTATAGGAAGACGTCCAAAAACTGTTGGCCATAGTATCTGTAGTGAGATCTACGTTCCATGCTGGTCAGGCATTTTGCAAAATGCCTAGTCATTTTGTAAAATGGCTAGCCATTTTGAGAAAAGCCTGGCTGCGTTCAGTCATTTTTCAAACAGCCGTCTTTTTGTAAAATGCCTAGGCATTTTACAAAATGACTGATTTTCTAAAGTGCCTGCAACATATAGGGGAAGTTGGGCCTGGGGCAATGCCGGAGTTGGGGCAAAGCCGAAATTCGAGATATTTCTAAAACCGTACGACATGGATGCCACGTCTCAGTGATGCTCGGAAGCTTAAGTGACTACAATTATCGCATGTTTGTTACGAGTCGTCATTTGGAATACTTCGGCTGTGAGGGCGCCAAAAGCGTTTTCAAGGTACGTTTCCCTTGTACTACATGCGCCTTTGAAGCTGCATTTCTTACTCATTATGCTACCGTTTGTCTGGCCAATTCGGTCAAGTAATCTTCAGCATGTCTTTGCATAAGTGTGCTGCCTATTTGAAATTTATACAGCACGTTTAAAAGTTATGGGCCTGAAAATGAAAGTATGGCTGGCTGGGGTAATGCCGAAAACGTGCAATTACGCACGTTATTAAAGCACGCTACGTGGACTTTACTGCTGTAGAATAGCAACGCGTATTTTTAGTGAAACAAATTACACTTTCAGCCGGCACAACGGCCTGTTACCTATAAGGAATAATTTACCTGGCATTTTCTTATTATATCACACAATTATAACTTCCAGTGTGCACCAAGCGTCCTCAAGCTCTTAAAACGCGTGTCAGCTTTGATGAATTTTGGATAAAGTTTGAGATAAATTGGCAAAACATCAATGTCGGCATTCCTCGTAGATCATTTATCCCATTTTCGGCTTTCCCCGCAGTCCGGGGCAACGCCGAAAAAGTCAGTTCTTTGATATTTTTAGTTTTTGCGCTTAACGGTATGCGAATTCATCAAATGCGCCTGGTATGTTTAAAAGACAAAAGACTGGCCTCTCGAATGACGCCAACAAGAATAGCTTATGTTGTCTACCTTGCGTGCTACGGGCGTCAGAAAAAAGTATTCGGCGTTCCCCCAACTTCCCCTATACACCCATTTATCGATGACTGGATACCACTTCAAGGTTATAATTGGTACGAGTCCCCATAACCGGTCGACGAGGGGTTACACCTGCGGTGATTGGTTGATCGTCTACCAATCACAGCGCGCGTCAGACGGCAAACAAGAGAAGTGTCAATCAAGACTTTCCGGACACCCTGTATACAAATACGCCATGCTTGGAAGCTACTTGTATTTGTCACATATGCACACCGTTGATTATGATTATGCCACAGACATCGGACACTGAACCACTGAGATCGCTGAGGATGGCAATTGATATCGGACACTGAGCCAGAGGGGACGGCTGAGATCATCAGCGGCCGCCGCGCTGCGTGCAGCTGGCGCGGAGCGTCTGCCGCGAGCGGCCACGGCCCGCGCCCAAATCCTCGGCTCGCTCCGGTCACACGGCAGTGGACGGCGCCCACGGACCGCCTGGCCGGCCCCTATTGAGCTCGGCGCCGACGGACCGCCTGGCCGGCCCCTATCGAGCTCAGCGTCTGAACCGGGCGGGCCGCTGACCGCCGCCTGTTCGTCTCCACGGTGTCTATAAGGGCCGGGGCCGCCCGTCTGTCCGTCGTCCCGGTCTCCGCTCGGTGCAGGTGGCCGCCGCCGTCTGTCCCCCTCTCCGTGACGGCTCACCGCCGCCGGCGCCGGCCGGCGTCCAGCATCCGCACCATGTTGTTGACGTACTGCAGGTAGTGGCGCTGGCACTCGACGTCGTCGGCGCAGATCGGCGGCACCTCCTGCTTGACGCGCTTGCAGAGCGGCAGGCGGGAGCGGCGCTGGCGGCCGGCGGTGAGCTGCCGCAGCTCACCGCCCGTCAGCCGGCCGAGCTGCCGCAGCTCACCGCCCGACAGCCTGCCGAGCTGCCGCAGCTCTCCGCCCGACAGCCGGGGACGCAGCTCTGGTGCATCGTCTGCGGCGGGCGGGCTCGGTCAGAAAACTGGGGACGGCGGGACTGGGAACGGTAGGCCTAGGGGCGGGCTTGGTCAATCTAAATAGTATGTTTGGCCTATACGAGAGATGAAAAGTGATTCGAAGTTCGAACTTATAACACAGAAAGTAAATGCAGCAAAGACCTTTCGTAAATCGTTACTCTGGAGTCGCCATAAAATCGATAATGGTAAATCGTTAGTCGTTAAGCCGTTATTAAGTTAAAACTGGATTAATCAATTGCCCTATGTTCCGCTTCATTCTGTTCCTCAAGAACTGGTAAACAAACATTCCTTAACCCTCGCACGACCAGGCCATTTCTCATAACACGAACGACCAGGGGGGGGTTGTTACGACCCCCCCCCCCTGGCGTTTCGAAACGGAAGGTCGTAGAGCTTAGCGGAAAAAACCAACGGATTGCTCTCAACGAGATCTCGCGATTGGTGGTATATTTTTTGGTCCTAGGTCAACATTTGACCTACTTTTGACCGGTCAAAGGTCAAATTTTCGGAAAAATAGACTTTTTTCAACTTTCGGCGGCGATTGCGGCAAAACGGTGGGAGATATCGACTTGAAACCTTCACTATCGTGTTCCTTGATCAATTCTCTATCGTTTGGTATGTATTTCGTTTCCCTAGCTCTAAAAATGGCGCGTTGGGAGCGCCGGAAGTCGGCAAGGTCACAGTCGGCGGCAGAAATTCGAAAAATCAAAATTTAAATTTTTGAAATCTGATTGTATTTTTGGATTTGGGAGGTCCATTTGCTCCCTATAGAAGCTAATATTGCTGCATATTCCCATTGAGGTGACAAGAATTAGCAAAATAGTGGTTCGGGCGCTTTTCAAAAATAGTACCGGACGCTGTTCCTCTTGTGACGTCATAGATCCGTGACCTGACCTGACCCGGTCAAATTTCTTATACCATATGATAGCCAATACTTGCCCCAACATGCATGGGAAGTTTCATCACGATCCATCAACCGATGTGCGTACCACCGGCAGGAAACCTCGGGCGTTGGCACTCAGTTTGTGAAAATCCGGCCGGAGGCTGTACCTCTTATGACGTCATAACTCCGTGACCTGACATGACCTGATCAATTTTTTTTCGGCAAAAGATGCGCAAAGGTTGCCCCAGAGGGTATTGAAAATTTCAGCCCGCTACGACAAGCCGTTTAGCGTGCACTTCGAAAAAACCTCAGGGGGGGGGTTGATACAACCCCCCCCCCCCCCTAGGCGTTCTAGGGTTAAAACAAATAAAGCCTTTGAGGAATAGAGCCCTTCAGCCGTTGAGGAAGCGAATAAAACGAGAAGAGAGCGGCAATTCATGTGTCTTATTAAATTGATTTAACTTTAAATTGAATTAAATTGATTAAGGATTTAATGACTAACGATTTACTATAACGATTTTATCACGACTCTAGAGTAAAGATTTACGAAATTTACGAAAGGCCTTTGCTGCAATAACTTTGTCAGCCTGGCTAATTTTGTTAACCATAGACCTCTGTATACCGGTATACAGAGGTCTCTGCATCAACTTAAGTATAACACGGAATACTCGTCCTCTTCTTCGGCCACCGACCCCGTTTCAAGCTGGCAGTCCCACCCTATCGCCGCAGACTGCTAATTGTTTGGAGTGAAAAGGAGTACATACTACAAGGATTGAACACCATTTCGTTGACCGTTCGCGATTCTCGGCCCTCGTCGGTCTGTCCCTTGAGAAGTGCTGAGTCCCAAATCTGCACCCGCTGGTGATTGTTGGTTGCATCAGCAGTCAGCACAGTGCACATCGCCTTCACCCTCGCAGTTGTTGGTTTTGAAAAATCATGTTATAAAATCCATACACTATGATAAAATCCTCCGTCCCGGTACCGGACCTTTTTGACCACCATCTTCCGTTATATTTTTTACATGTGTAGAGACAACGGTGGCACCTGTGTAGTGCCGCGAAATTTGACAGAGCTTATGACACATTAGTTGTTCCATACTGCGTTAAAAGTTTGACCTCATGCCGCCTTAGAGCAGGTAAGCAGGCGTACATGGGTTAAGTAGCCTTGCCTTTAAAACGAGATCGTGTCTTTTCTTAACCCGCCCGTGCTATAAGGGGGGGGGGACGTTATACGCCCCTTTCCCCCTCAGGTGTTTCGCGAATATCTCAAAAAACGGCGGCGCGCAGCGCCACCGTTTTTAATACACCTGTTCATGCATCTTTACCGCACAGTTGTGAAAATTTCAGACCCAGGTCGTTCAAGGTCAGGTCACCAGGTCACTTCAAGTGACCTTACCTAAAAACAAGTTCCAAGGCTTGTTACAGCTTCACCGACTGAACGATCACTTTGAAACTTTCAGCGATTGATAAGAGAACAGTAGGTATACCTATGTAAAACGTATATCTCGCATTTTTACATCTGTGACCTAAGGTCAGGTCAATTTTGCGACCTCTCCATTTCCCACGCGAAGGCTAGAAAATCATGTACTGGAGCCAAGCATATCTAATGGGTTAGCGCCCCCAGTCCCGCCACTACGAAGTTGCCCGAGACCTTGTAGGTGTTAGACCGAAAAAAGACATTACTTACCAAGAGTATTTCTGTTGAGATATAGCGCTCTTGCCGGAGCCAATGTGTGTAGAAACAACATGACAGCCAAGCTCACACCCAGTACCTTCATTGGCTGGTTGGGTCGCCTCAAGTGTTTTTAGACGCTAACCGACCTGCAAGACAGGCTGGTGTTAGGCCAAGGCATGGATAAGAGATCAGAGGATTTGATATCGAGAGCCTACGCACTTGTAAGGAAATGCAATGAAAGGCTGCGCAATACCGATCTATTGAAAGTGTAGGATATTTTCCACAAGGGTGTGTTAGAAAGTCGTCTGACGAAGCGTGCCTATCCCAACAAGCTGCATTGTCCGCTCAATATACAGCAATACAAAATAAATTACAAATTGTATAAGACAATACAATTGTCAGTTAGATTACAAGATCATCACTGAATATTACTTGATGTGCACTAGAAGTTTCATTAATCATATTCAGGATATGCACCTACCTGGAGCGGTGACAGTGCTGAGTCGCTCCCTCCCCGGAGTCGAACGCAATCGGCAGTGGCAAGTGGCGGCGGCGGCGGCGGTAGCGGCTTTTATGTCGTGCGTCGCCTGCGTCGCGCAGCCGCTGATGCCGCGGCGACACATATTGCCGCCGGCTGAGAGGGATGAGTCGCGGACGGGTTCACTGGGGACCCATCGCTGGCCGGCCGGACGCAGCGGGAAACTATCGTGTCGGAGGCACCGCCAGGCCGTGGCGCGGGGACGATATCGCGTCTCGGATTGTACTGTTTTTATGTCCAATTGTCGACTCTTGGAGTTGGGACTCGTACCAGCCAAACGATTCTAATGCTACTGCTCATGTTACTGATTACATGCGATATATTTCGGTCATGGGTTTGACGCTCCTGTTTCCTTAACCCTCGCCGGCACAGGCCATTTTGCGTCCTTCGACGGCACAAGGGGAGGGGGGTAGTACGAACCCCCTCGCTTTCGGCCTCTGATCGAGCTAGTCTCGCGGAAAAACGAGCTCAGCGTGCTGCCCGTCACGAGAGGAAGCCGATGATACACAATTTTAAGGTCCTAGGTCATCGTCTATCTGGAAGGTCTATTTGACCTTCCAGGTCAGGTCAATGGCCCAAAAGTCGGGAAAATCGGGACCTGTTAGAAAGTCGGTGTGGTTACTATTAGGGTTTTCGGGGTGCTGATCACGAATATCGTGCTAGTTCTGATCACAGATTATGTCTTAAAGCATTTACACCAGGTTGGGTCAGGTCAGGTCAGGTCAACCAGTAGGGGTCGTGACGGGTATTCCTGGTATACGTGTTGTCGCCGACGCAACGAAAGGCGACAGCGATTGGAGCGCACGAGGAACGTTAATATTTTATTTATGATTTTACTGAACGTTCCGACGGATTTCGACAAAAAATACAGTTTTTTGAGTGCATTACGACGATTCGTTTCCCTTCGCGTTTCGTATTCGTAATATGGGAATTTTTCGCATTTAACGTAATGTATTCATTAACTCAACATTCGTGATTGTTGTAACGACAACAATTAATGGTCCTCCGGGCCGGATCGATAAGAATCGATCCTTTTATCGTGTGCTTTTGTCATCGATTGCCATTGACCCCGAGTTCATTGTAACTTAACGATGACCTACTTTACTCGCTAGCATCTATCTCGCACTGTTACAGTTAAAGTAAATTGTAGCCCTTATCATGGAGACGGCTGAGAAGAAGTTACGAGCCAGGAAGAAGGGAGCATTTACGAGACTCTGTAATGTAGCCGAAACCATTATCGCATCAAACGGAAGCAGAACGCAACTGCAAGGTCTACTCGAAAGGATCGGAGAGGCTTTAGACAACGTGGCTGAAGCAAACGATGCGTATATAAGCGGACTCGAAGATGACAATGAAGATATAAGAATATCAGAACGCTACATGGAAGAGGTGGAGGAGCGCTATAAATTAACTGGTGACAAAATCACGTCGTACTTAATGGCACGTAAGAGCGACGCACCCTCCGAAGCGAGCTCGCGAAGGGCGGGCTCAAGCATACGATCTCAAGCGTCAAGTACGTCAAACCGTTCTACAGCATCTAAAGAAGCCCAAATTAATGCCCGTCTGAAACGGCTGCAGGCGCAGCAGCTAGAACGGCGCACGAGGAGAGAGCTCTGGAAGAGGCAACGAAGAAAGTGCGCCTGGCTGAGGAAGAGGCGAGAAGAAAGATGCGTCTGGCTGAAGCGAGGGACGCTGCAGAATTGGCTGCAAAGGAGGCCGATTTACGCCAGGCAGCTGAGGACGAGCTGCAATGGGAAAGAATAAATGACTTCGACGGAGAAGAAGCTGAAAACCAAAGACACCAGCAATCGAGTGTGATCGAGATGAACGACGAAGGTGCCGCAGCCCCAATAGACGGTCCAGTAACCGAATGTTTGACGGCGCAGAAACCGGACCGGCCGACGAGCACCATGGCTAACCAACAAGATCAAACAGAAGAGCACGCACCGAAGGAACGGCAGGTTCAAAATTTAAATCCAAGACGGACTGCTTCTGCAACATCCTGGATTTCCGAGGTGGCAAACAAACCGCAAGATATGACGTCAGCAGGGCAGTACCCACCGGGCGGCCATCATCGAAGTGTTCCCCAGATCAAACTACCAATGTTTAGCGGGAAGGCAACTGAATGGCCACAATGGATCGGGCTGTTTAAAACGCTCATACACGACCAGCAGTGTTTGTCCGACGCAGAAAAACTCGCCCATCTTCAGTCTTCTGTCACGGGGCTGGCCAAGCAGACAGTCGAAGGAATGCTGTATGATGGTGCGCTGTATCCTGTAGCCTTAGAAACGCTCATGGAGAGATTTGGAAAGGAACAGGACATCGTAAATGCCAATCTTTCTGCCGTCTTCTGCACACCACCCATGAAAGAGCTGGACCCGACGGCGCTGGAAAGATTCCATGCTGTCGTCCGCTGCGCGGTCAAAGTTCTTGAAAATATGGGGTTCGAAGGTGACCTCAACAGCACCGAAAACCTTCGTCGGGTCGTGCTGAAACTACCGAACGAGCTGAAAAGAGAATGGGGGCGTCAAATCGTGGAAATGGAGCCAAAACGACCTGGTCTAAGCGACTTCGACAGCTGGCTGAGCCAACAAGTTCGCATCGTCACGGCCCTCCCAGCCAAGCCCACGGACTACGACAGAACGACTCGCTACAAGAGTGACCGCTCCAAGAGCCTCCTAAGAGCACCTTCAGCTCCAGCAACCTTGACCACGGCACCGAAGGCCAGCATAAAGAGCGCCAGACCTCCGCACGAGCAGGACGCGCCACACTGTAGCTGCGGAGAGTCACACGAGCTGTCCGTGTGCCCTTCGTTTCTGCAGTTGTCAAAAGGAGAACGAGCAAAGTTTATCGGTGAAAGTGCTCGCTGCTTTCTGTGCCTGAAACTAGGACATCGGTCGCGACACTGTCCATCGGTAGAGACATGTGAAGAAGAAAACTGCCGGGGAAGACATCATCGCCTTCTTCACGGCAGCAGCAGAGTCTTCCCTTCTAAGACTGATGGTTCAACTCGTAGGACAGTCGCGGCTACAACTCCACGGAAGGATGAAATGACCCTGCTTCAGATAGTGCCGGTTAGGGTTCACGGAGACAATACTTACGTCGACACGTTCGCCATTCTCGATTCGGGGGCTCAGACCTCACTGTGTACCGACCGGCTGGCTGAGAAGCTGCAGCTGACTGGTGAAGTTCGGCCTCTATCGCTGAACAACGTGGAAGGCAGCGGACCGCAGCGGATGTCCATGAAGACATCGGTGAAGCTCACCGCACTGGCGGAGGATTCGGAGACACGTTCAGTGACTGTAAATGAAGTATGGACGGTGCCAAGACTGAACGTTCCGGTACCCCAGCTGAGCTCCTCCGCGCGCTCGAAGTGGCTTCATTTGAACGGGCTGGACATAGCCGATGTTGGCGCAGACCAAGTAGAAGTGCTTCTTGGAGCCAATGTTACCGAAGCGATTCTCCAGAAAGAAGTACGTGTCGGGAAAGCAGGCCAGCCAGTCGCCATCAAAACGCATTTCGGTTGGGCTCTGACTGGCTCCATCGCCAGCTTGACTCCGACTGATCAGCACCATGTGATGCACATCCACCGCAGCACCTCTCAGGAAGACGAGCTGAACGAGCTGCTGCAGAACTGGTGGAAAACGGACTCATTCGGTACCTCACACGACTTGAAGAAAGAGACTTCGCACGAAGACAGACGAGCCATTCGAATACTCGAAGACACGACCAGGCTTCAAGACGATGGTCACTTTGAATGTGGTCTCCTGTGGAAAAAGGACGAAGTGTCGCTGCCGGAGAATCGCATCGGCGCACTCCGTCGCCTGGAACGAACTGAAAAATCACTTCGAAGTAACCCTGACAAGGCAAAGGGATACAAACAAGCCATCGACAGTTATGTCTCTCTCGGGCATGCTCGTAAGCTGGGACAAGACGAGGCAGCCAAAGCCAACCCTAAAAGGTGGTACCTTCCTCATCATGCCGTCTTCAATCAGAACAAGCCCGGGAAGATAAGAGTTGTGTTCGACGCGTCCGCAGAGTTCCATGGAACTTCGCTGAATGAAGAGCTGCTAACTGGCCCAGATCTTCTTCAAGAGCTTCCGGCTATTCTGATGCGTTTTCGCGAGAAGTCGGTGGCTATAGTCGGGGACATCGATCAAATGTTCCATCAAGTGCGCATCCAGCAGAGCGATCGACCAGCCCTCAGCTTTCTCTGGAGGGACTTGGAGTGTGGCCGACCTCCAGACACATACGAAATGAATGTCGCCATTTTTGGCGCAAAGTGCTCTCCTGCGATCGCCTCCTACGCGTTACGAAAGGTGATTGAAAGTCAAGTAGAAGTCGGACTCAACAAGCACTCGGCATCTGACATTGCAAAGCAGTTCTACATGGACGACTACGTGGCCTCAGCAGAAAGTCCTAAGAGTGCTGCCGACCTACTTCACACCGTCACCAAGCTCGTATCCACAGGCGGGTTCACCCTGCGAAAATGGACAAGCAACTCAAGAGAGGTGATGGAATCTGTTCAGCCGACCGATAGGGCTCGTTCCGAATTGGACGCATTCACTCCGCTCTCTCCTGAGCGCGTGCTCGGCCTGATCTGGGACACGGAACAGGACACGATCGGTCTAAACGTTCCGAAGAAACGAAATCTCCCAACGACGAAACGGGGAATTCTGAAGGCAATAGCAGCGGTATACGACCCGCTCGGTCTGCTGTCGCCGTTTATGCTGCAGGCAAAGCTGTTGATGCAGGGTCTATGGAGACAGCAGCTTACATGGGACAGCCAGCTGGACGAACAGGACCTTCACAGGTGGCGATGCTGGCAAGAGGAAGCCAACATCCTCTCACAGCTACGGATCTCTCGCTGTTACACCGCTCTGGATGGACCAGTGAAGAGGTCAGAGCTGCACGTGTTCAGCGATGCCTCGGAAGCAGCCTTCGGCGCAGCAGGCTACCTCCGGCAAATCGACGCGACCGGCGGTATCCAATGCGCGCTGGTCATGAGCCGGACTCGAGTCGCTCCTCTGAAGCAGCTGACCGTGGTCCGTCTGGAGTTGCAGGGAGCTGTCTTAGCTACAAGACTCGCTGAAAGTATCACGTCAGCACTATCTATGTCTATCGACAGCGTCTACTTCTGGACTGACAGCCAGGTGGTGCTTGGCTACATACAAAATGAAAGCAGACGCTTTCATACGTTTGTCGCCAACCGCGTAGCGGAAATCAGGGACAAGTCGGACCCCGAACAGTGGCGGCACGTCCCCGGACCGCTAAATCCAGCCGACGACTGCTCCAGGGGCC